CAAGCGAAGAAGGGAATGACAGAGGATGAGATGGTTGGATGGCATCACCGACTCGATGGACGTGGGTTTGGGTGGACTCCAGGAGTTGGTGATGGACAGGGAGGCCTGGCATATTGCAGTTCATGGAGTCGCAAAGAGTCAGACATGACTGAGTGACTAAACTGAACTGAACTTGGCTTATGGGATCTTAGGTTGCTGACCAGAGATTGAACACATACCCTCCTTCACTAAAAGTGCATTCTTAACCACTGGACCATCAGGGAAGTCCTATGTTCATCAAAAAATTGATGTGATGTTTACAACCATAATGTACTCATATATAATTTCATGTATGTATTTTTACATCTTGAAAAAATTGTGATAGTTTGTCAAAACATGCACTATTTTTCCCTTCACATACCCCTTATCAAACTCCAGGGTGTCTCCAGAGGCACTGGCACCCAGGTATTGATGAGAAGTGAGGCATCATGGCTATCTCTGGCTGCAGGAGGGAGTCAGGATATTTTAGGCCAAGCAACAGAGTGTTCCAATGCTTGGGCACTGGAGTTTCACTGCCTGAGTTTGAATAATGGCTCCACCTCTCCTAGTACAACTGAGGACAAGTAATTTAACTTCCCTTTACCCCAAAAGTGTACATGTCAATAGAGCTGTGAGAATCAAATTGGATAATCCACTTAAAGCACTTAGCACAGGGCCTGGCCTGTTGAAGGCAGGGATAAATGTTAATTATTGCCAACTCTTATTATGCTGTGTGGAAATTCTAACCCTTCCCTACCTACTTGTGTATCTCCCATGTCCACCTCCCAACCAGAACACCACATACTGCTTTATACACATCAGATGCTCAATATTCCTGAGTTGAATCCAATGCTTCCCCTTGGTCTATAGGAGAAAGTCCAATATCCTACTTTTCATTTAAGGTTGTTCCTCATTTCATCCCCATCTGTTTTCCAGCTTCAGTTTCTTTATCCTTCCACATTAATCCCCTGTCCCAATCATACAAGTCTACAACCATTCCCAGCTACGCCTTACACTTTTGTGTCTCAGAATGTTTCATTGCTTATGTAAACTTGCACTGTCCCCACTTCCCAAAACATCCTTCCTGATCCTCCATACCTTCTATAATTTAAACAGTTTTTTAAGACCCAGATTAAATTGATCTCCTATAGCAATTCTTCTAATCTTCTCTGTTTTACAAAACCCTTTGAGAATTTTACAATTGCAATTTGACATTTTGTCTTTTAGGAAATAAAACAAGTGCATACATGTAAACAATCTGATTCTGGGGGTTTGTGATCCCCTTGAACTCTGGTCCAGCCCCCAATCTGTGGTCCTTGGACTCCAACACCATTACAAAGTGACTCTTGTTCTCAATACCCATAGCAATCACTATCTGAACTAATAAATGGTCCCTTCTTTTGATGTCTATTTTCACTTTCTTGCATGTTTTTTCTTATATTCAGAATGTAATTTTTTTGAGGAGTAAGGATTTGTCTCAAGCATCTGTTTGCTCACAATGACTAGGAAATATACCTTATATATAGTGAGTCCACAGTAAAAATGTGTTGACTAACTGTTCACTTATCATCTGCTGTTATTATCCTCTTCTTAGGTGATCTCATCCTGGCCCATGGTCTTAAATGCTTTACATTTGGGACTTCCCTTATGGTCCAGTGGTTTAGAATCTGCCTTCCAATGCAAGGGATGTGAGTTTGATCCCACATGCCATGGGGCAACTAGGCCCGTGCACCTTAACTAGAGAATCAAGTCCACATGCTGCAACTAAGACCTGAGGCAGCCAAAAATAAAAATAAATAAATGCGTTACATTTGCTGGTGACCATCAGTATTATGCCTTCAGCCTACACATCATCCCTAAATTCCAGATTCATATACCCTGAAGGATCCTTGAATGTTGAGTAGGCATCACTGATGTAAAATGTCAAGAAGGGAACTGGTGGTTGCTCACACCACCCTTCCTTTTCCCCAGATATTGCCATCCCAGGATTTTCCATCTCCATAGTGGTACTTCCATCAGTTGAGAGCTGGGCCCTCCCTTTCACTCTGTTCATCTCTACCCATTCTTATAGTATTAGTCACTCGGTCGTGTCTGACTCTTTGTGACCCCATGGACTGTAGCCATCAGGCTCCTCTGTCCATGGAATTCTCCAGGCAAGAATACTAGAGTGGGTTGCCATTTCCTTCTCCACTACCCATTTTTAAGTCCTCTTAAATCAATCTCCAAAATATATGCTAAAGCCTTTCCCTACTCTTGGTCTCTAGAGCCACCACCATGGCCCAACCCTTCACCATTCTTACATGGCTCCCAAACTGCTCTCCTTGCTCCCTCTCGGCCCTCTGAAATTCATTCTCAAGCTGCCAGAATGAATTTTTGCAAATACAAATCAGTGCTGCCGCTCCCTCCCTTAAAACCTTTCCATTGTTCTCAGAATAAAGTCTAACGTACAACTGTGTTTCCAGGGCAGCTACCTCAGGGCTCCTCTATAAGCAAACTAACTTTCTTGCCTTGAGCTGTCCTTTTGTCTGACAAACCCTTTCTCCTTCATCCTGGAGCTTGAATACCTGGCTTCTCCTTATCCCTTATTTTAGTTCAGTCTTCATTTTCTTTTGAAATATTCCCTGACCATCACGTTTAAAGTGGGCATCTGCAGCCTGGGTGGGAGGGAAGTTTGGGTTAGAATGGATACACGTGTATGTACGGCTGAGTCTCTCTGCTGCGCGTCTGAAAGTATTTACATTATTAATTGACTATGTGCTGTGCTGCGCTCAGCCACTCAGCTGTGGCCAACTCTTTGCCACGCCACGGACTGTAGGCTGCCAGACTCCTCTGTCTATGAAACTTTCCAAGCAAGAGCACTGGAGTGGGTTGCCATTTCCTCCTCCAGGTGATCCTCCTCACCCAGGAATTGAACCCACGTCTATTCATGTCCCTGCATCGAAGGCGAATCCTTTACTGCTGAGCCCCCAGGGAAGCCCATTAATCAGTTATGCTCCAATATCAAATAAAAATTAAAAACATAAAGTGGGCCTCAGAATGACCATGGATCCCATCACTTTGTATATTCTATTTTACTCCAATCCAGTTACCTTTATGAAATGTATGTCTGTATTTATGGCTCATCTTTTCCATCAGAATTTAAACTCACTGCAGGCAGGGGTCATGTCTGACTTGTTTGTTGCTTCAAACCCGACATCTTGGAAAATATAAGCTCCACAAGGGCATAGATTTTCTTTTCGTTTTTACTTTTTTGTTCTCTGATATTGTCTCTGGTGCCTAAAAAAGTCCTGCCACATAGTAAGCACACAACAAATCTCTGTTGACTGCTGAATGAAGAGTGGGGACTCAGTAAAGGCTATTTTGTCTACATTATTGAATCAACCAATCAATGGATTAATTATTACTTCAGGCTAATTGGAGAAAAGCTAGCAACATTATTTATGGGAAAAATCCTCCTTAAATGAATAGCTAAAAATGGTTTATAATAAATGCATCAGAGCACTATGATCTCTAGGCATTATTAATACATTGTTTATAAACAGTTGCCTCCAAAATCCTTAGAAACACTCAGTACTCAAAAGCTAGTAAACAGTTCCCTCATTATCTTGTTTGCCTTACAACTTTGCATTGTAAGAAAAGTTCCTAAACAAAGCAACATAGATTTCTAAATGGAAGTTTATCAAATAATACATATTTAGAATGAATATTCAGAATGAACTGATCCTAACATAATGACTTTTGTATATAACTCAGCTCAACAGTTGATCAGGTAAATCCAGAAGAGGCTTCTTTGGAGTACTGCATAGCCCTTCATTAAATCAGTCACGGCCTCCAGCAAAATTCTCTGCTCTCTGTAGACTGGCCCTTTTTGTCATGCAGGAGCCTCCTGGGTGAAAAGAGATGTCTGAACACATCGTCTTTAAAAGGTCAGGGGTCATTCATCAAGAAGGACTGTTTACTTTAAGTTCAGAAAGCTGACCATCTTCTGCCAGCAGCCATGGGTGATAAAGAGCGCAAGGAGATCTTTCACTGCTGAGCATCTAGGCTTAGTGGGATTACAAAGGAAGGAGAAATCAGCCAGATACATTTCAGGCCTGCAGACCCTTCTTATATTTATAACAACATGTTTTCCTAGTAACAGTTTATTTTGCTGAAAACATTTAATAAAAACTTTCAGAGCCTCTTGTGAGAAGATGGTTTCACATTCCCTAGCCAAGCACCTGCCTGACTTTAATGTGCTACTATTTTAGGTCCTGGAAACATATACCCCCTTCCATAGACTCAAGCTGGTCTCTTTATAATTACCAAGCTCACAGTCCCTAAGAATAGAAATAGGTGCAGAGGCTTTTTCTGGATAACTCTGGTGAACTGTCCTCTCTCAAGCCCTTGGCAGCTGGGGAAGCAAACTCATGGGAAAGAATACCATTTCTAACACAACACACTTTAAAAAAAATTATTTTTTTTAAGTATTGTTGATTTACAATGTTGTGTTAATTTCTGTTGTGTGATACAGATATATATGTATGTATATATTATTTTTCATATTCTTTCCCATTATAGTTTATCACAGGATATTGAATGTAGTTCCCTGTACTATACAGTTGGACCTTGTTTATCTATTCTGTATATAATAGTTTGCATCTGCTAATCCCAAACTTCTGATCCATGTCTTCTACCTCTCCAAACTCAGCAATCACAGTCTGTTCTCTATATCTGTGAGTCTGTTTCTGTTTCACAGATAAAATTCATTTGTCAACACAACACAATTTCAATACAACAGTTCACAAAACATTTCTTCACTGATTTTGACACATGTTCTCCTGGCTTTGGAAGTTCTTCTCACCTGTTTTCTCCCAACTATCCTAAAGCAACCTCTGTGCAGTTCTGGGTAAGATCTAACAGACTGATCAAACATACAGAGAAATTTGGAATGGAACTTGGGACCAGGGGATATCCATCCCTTGGGCTTTCTCATTCACTAAATGACAATTTTAATTCCAGTAGAGTCACAGGCTGGTTGGGCTTCTAAGATTGTGTTTAAGGTAAAAAGATGTGTGTCGTGCTCAATCACTCAGTCATGCCTAACTCTGTGCAACCCCAGGGTCTGTGGCCCGCCAGGCTCCTCTGTCCAAGGAATTCCCCAGGCAAGAATACTGGAGTGGGTAGCCATTTCCTTCTCAGGGAATTTTCTCTACCCAAGGATTGAACCTACATCTCCTGCATTGGGAGGCAAATCCTTTACCATTGAGCCACCTGGGAAGCCCCAAGGTGAAAAAACACATAAGTTAAAAATTACCCTTGGAAATCCCTTAAATTGCCCATAAATTCTGATTTTGGGTTTTAAGTATACTACCCTGTGTAACATAATACGTGAATCTGCATGATTATGTACAATAGATAATTTATAAGTGCACGAGTTTATTCAGTATGTAGTAAGAACATATATGCAGAATAACATTTGACGACATTTTTATTTTCCAGCCTCCCACCCCCACAAACAGAGTGGTCGAATTTGCATAAATTAAATTTACTTGAATTGAAGATGGATCTCTACTGCAGCAATCAGAGGTACTATTTGCCCTCTGAGTTCTAACCGGAAGCCTTGATTTCTGTTCTGTGCTTGAAACAAGTCCATTTGGAACCAACTATGTACTTGAGATCATTTTCCCAAGGGAAGTTTTCAGGAATATCAACGACCTTACTTAGACAAACAAAACAGTCACAAGAAACTCATACTTGGGCCATATGATTATCTAGAAAGGCAGGCAGTTTTTCTTTCTCAGCCAGAGCCATGATCTTTCCAAATTCCTATCCTGCCTTTCTTCCATAAAATGATTCATTCACTTGATGGACTATAGAAGTAATACTTGAATTTTTTAAAAAGTCATTAAATGTAGAACGTGTTCCATTTCTAGTATTGTAATGAGTAATCAAATTTAAATTATTTGAAAGGCTGAAGTGAGTGCTTTGAGGTTGTGTATATCTGTGTGTGTGGGTAAGTGGAGGGTGGAGAGGACTGGATTGCACAATCTCTAAGCAGAGTTACACCTCTCAGGATACACTTCTAGACCACATATTCACCCTTTTGCTGAGAATGGATGTGTTTCCTCAGTTCTCACTTTGCGGAGCTGCACTTTCTAAAGTTGAACTCTCATTGCTACTGGCGTAAAGACCAGGCTGAGGACTCCTCAGAGAAAATAAGAATTCTCTCCTCTACCCAGTGTCTGAGGAGTGGAGAATGTAGAATCCTCATAATGAAACACCAGGTAACTCGGAAAAACTGCGATAACCATAACTAACATGCCGAGGAAGAGGATCAGAGGAGGTAAAGCGTGAATATGTGAAGTGCTTCAAGTATTGCCTGCATACAGGGAGTCCTGCATTGTTGTTAGTATGGCTTCTATTGCTCATCTCGTGACAACAGGCATCCTGGGAGTGAGTCTGAATTTTTTGGAACCATCTACCAGTCCATCCTAAAGGAGATCAGTCCTGGGTGTTCACTGGAAGGACTGATGCTGAAGCTGAAACTCCAGTACTTTGGCCACCTCATACGAAGAGTTGACTCATTGGAAAAGACCCTGATGCTGGGAGGGATTGGGGGCAGGAAGAGAAGGGGACGACAGAGGATGTAGGCTGTGATTTCTCAGAGAATGAGTAGAAACCTGGAGGAAGAGTAACTATAGGTTATTTAGTTCAACCTACTTAGTGTTAAACTGATAACATTGAGAATAAGAGAAGCACCATTGTAACCGACACTTGTGACTATGAGTGTCTATCCTACAAGTGGGTCTTCTTTCTTCATTTGTCCAATTCCAAGGGAAAAAGAGAGCCAAAATCACATTTAACCATGAAATTGAAACACAGCCCAATCTTCTTTAAAGAACGTGAACTCCATGTGTCTTTTTCAATTAGTCCTACTATGAAGATTTAGCTAAACCCACAAAGTTATCAGACATGTGACCAAAGCCATAGTTAAACTTCTCTATAAAGAGTTGAATGGTAGTTTAGTCACTAAGTCATGTCCAACTCTTGCAGCCCATGGACTGTAGCCCACTGGGCTCTTCTGTCCATGGGATTCTCCAGACAAGAATACTGGAGTGGGTTGCCATTTCCTTCTCCAGGGGATCTTCCTGACCCAAGAATTGAACCTAGGCCTCCTGCATTGCAGGCAGATTTTTTTTTTACTGACTGAGCTACAAGAGAAACCCAAAGAGTTGAATAGCTGAACGATATATGCATTTTCATTATCTGTAATAATAGGCAACCTACCTGTAAAAAGAGCAGTCAATATGAATATAAATAAACACCAAAATTAGATTTATTGCTAAAATTTTGCCCTAATTGACTTAGTAATATGATGCTTCTATCATGAGAATACCTGCAAAATGCTTGCTATATTGTGGGTTATAGAAAAGGTTGTGAAAAAACTAGAAAAATAAGCAAGTTGTAAAATTAAATAATGATTATTATAACTGTAACTACACGTGGGCAAGAAGAAGTATAGCATAATAACTGAGATGACTATAATATAGTAATGAAAAAGTTCTATCTTTTACCTAAGGAATTTAGCTGCAAGTTGAAAACAAGGACATTTTTGCCTTCTACATCATCCCCATCATCACACTGTCACCACCACCATTGTCATCATCAACATCGTTAGCAGCAGCATCAATGCCATTTACTGAGCAATTTTTAGGAGCCAGCAATGTGCTAAGTGTTTTATATGTGTTATCTAATTAATTCTTATATCAGTCTTCTGGGTTAAGTTTTTTTTATAATCATGATGCTGACAGATAAACTGATGCACATCTTTCCTAAGGTCATATTGCTAGTAAGTGGTATCAGAACAGTGATTTAACTGAACTTAATTCCAAAGCCTAATTTCTGAATCACTAAGCTCTATTGCTAAACTGTGGTAAATGTCAAGGTAAATGGGTAAAAAGTCCAGGACTCAGAAAATATTTTCAAATGGGAATTCAACTGTACATGAGAGACCAGACAAATAAAGTTGATGACTTATTAGCACTGTAGGATTTGAGGGAGAATTCAAGTTCTAGGTGACACTGTGTTCGTTATCAATTGTGGGGTAACATATTATGCCACAACTTAAGGGCTTAAAACAATACATGGTTATTATTTCACACCATTTCTGTGTGTTAGGAATTTGGAAGTTGCTGAGGCCAAGTGTTCTGGCTGAGGGTCGCTCATGAGGTGGCAGTGAAGATGTTGGAGAGAGCTGAAGATGCACGAGGCTGAGCTGGGGCTGGAGAATCCACTTCCAAGTGGCTTACTCACCCATTGGGAAAGAAATCTAGCTTCTCACTGGTGGTTGGTAGGGGGCCTTAGTACCTGACCACGTGGACCTCTCCTTAGGGCTGCTTGAGTGTCTTCCTAACATGGCACATGGCTACCCCAGAGCAAGTGACCCAAGAGCGAGAGAGCAAGGCAGACGCCAGGATGTCTTTTATGACCTGGCTTTGGAAGTCACATACTGTCACTTCCACCTCATTATATTGATTACAGTGTGGGAGAGGACTTCTCAAGAGTGTGAATTCTAGGAGGGAGGGATGGCTGGGGACCACAGACTTCTTCCAAAATTCCCCATCACTGTCCACTTAACTAAATAGTGAATTTTGCACACAGTTTCTATTAAGATGTTTAACCTAAACACCATGATCATTCTCAGGTATTATCACGTTTACTTTTAGGAAGTTTTCATAAAATATTTGGACTAAAGATCATGAACAAAGAAAACTCATTTGAATGTCTTCTCTGGATATCCTTTAGCAGTCATTATTCAACAACCTTCTATTTTTAATGCATTATTGCTTTATTTTTCAAGGATGTTTAGTCCTGGGATCTACTGTCAGCATTATCATTATGGTCTTATCTTGGTATTGAATGAAACTGTAATAAACATAAAGGCTAACATAAGACACTGGCAATTACTCCTTATCATGCTTTTTTGGATGACAAATATCTATGAGGACTCCTCTTGACGTTCTTTTCATTTCTGTGTCCCTGGCATTACAGTATATTCTGCCACATAGTGATGCAAATAAGATATAAGATAGAGCTGATCTTGGTGACAAGAAATTTGTGGATGTTCTTATATGAGATAATCTTTGAAAGAGCAAGTTCCAAATTAGCTTCAAAGATATTCACAGATAGATAGGCTAATAAGGGTATAGAACTCTCCATGGAAGTCGCATGACTTTGAAGAGAAGCTAGGCCTTGTGCCAGCTCAAGTCATAGAGGGTCCCAACTTCATGGAAAGGTCGGGCCAACTATTATATCTGGGTTGGTGAGTCTCAGGAAAAATGGAACAGACTGAGTTGAAGAAAAAAAAAAAAGAAATGTGATATGATTCATGTACCAGGGAAGCTTTGCCAACAGTCCAGGCTATGGTAAGCTCTTTCATGCTTGTACAAAACCAGGACAATTCCAGTAGTAGTAAATCATGAGGATAATGTCAGAGTGGAAAGGGTCAGGGTCAGAGAGCTGGGAGAGATTTGTATTTGAGGCTTCTAGAAGCAATGCCCTGGAGGAGGAAATGGCAACCCACTCCAGTATTCTTGCCTAGAAAATTCCATGGACAGGAGTCTGGCAAGCTACAGTCCATGGAGTCACAAAGAGTTGGACACTACTAAGCGACTGAGCACAGAGGCAGTGTGGCAGGGACACAGAGTCCTTGTTCAAAGGAGTCAAAGCTGTTGCCAAGGAAATGGAGTCAAGCACAAAGCCCAAACCTGGTATGAAGACAGAAATGAGAGAATCGCAAGGTAGACCAGCAGAAGAATAAGATGCAAGGCAGAAACAAGAATAGTTTGGGGAACTTGATTCTGAAACAGAGACTGCGCATGATTTACTCTGACCAAACTTTACAGTCACCACTCCATCAAAACTGCTCTTTTAAAAGTCAGCAATGAGTCCTTGGCTTTAACATGAAGCCTCACATGGTTAGATACAAAGATCAGCTCTCTACTTCTTTCAGCTACATTGGAAAGACTTGACTATCTTTTCTCCCTTGATTACATTGATAACTTTCTTCATTTGGCTTCCAGGAAACTATATTACTTGGCATACTTCCTACCTCATTGATCACTCCTTCTAAGTGCTTGTTACATTATTTTTTTCTCAGTGCTTGGTCTTTTCTCCATATATACACATTCACTTGTGATTTCACCCAGTACCATTCAGGACTTTCAGTATGATTTACATACCAGTGATTTCCAAATTAGTATCTCCATTCTAACTTCTCTTGTGATCTCAGATTCATGTCTCTGCTGGGATGTCTAATAGACATCTCAAACTTCATACATCCCAAATGGAGCTGCTTATCTTATCCTCAAATCTGTTTTACATGTAACCTTTCCCATTTCAGCTATTGGAAGCTCCATCCTTCCAGATGCTCAGGTAAAAATCCTTAGTGTCATCTTGGAATCCTCTCATTCTCTCACCTTATGGCCAAATCCATCAGCAAATCCTATGGTTCTTCCCTTAAAGTATATCCAGAACCCTACCTCTCTCACCACTTTTCTTGCTTATTCCTTTCCTCTTGGCCTCCATCATCTCCTCCCTAGATGACTGAAGCAGTCTCCTAAGCATTCATCCTGTTTCAGTCTTCCCACTCCCCACCTTTGCCTGCAATCTATCCCCAACACAGCAACCAGATGGTTTCTTTTAAGTCAGAGCAGGTCATTCCTCTGCTCAAAACCCATTTCCCAAAAGAGTAAAAGCCAGATTCCTTATAATACCCAAATAGACCCTTATGAGCTGACCTCTCCCTTATTTTTCTGATTTATCTTTATTTCTCTCTCCCTTACTCTCTGTTCCAGCCATAATGGTCTCTTTACTGTTTTTTCAAAATGTGAGGTACTTTGCACTTTTGTGGATCACATTGGCTGTTCCCTCTGCCTGTGACCCTCTTCCCCAACATAATTAGTTCCCTCTCCTTCTTCAAGTTTTTGCTGAAGTGTCAGTTTCTCAAGGTCTGACACTTGAGGTCTGCCCTGGCCATCCTAGTCAAAATGTAAACCTGCTCTGAACTCTTTCACCCCTAATGACCTTTCACCCCTGATGACCTGTCACCTCTGATGACCTTTCACTGTTCACGTTATTAAATAGTACTTACTACTTTCTAATACACTATGAAATTTAGTTATTTATGCTTATTTACTGTGTTCTTCATTGTCTGACTCTCTCCACAGCTAGATGGAGAGAGAGCAGGGGTGTCTGGCTGTTAAGTTTACCCACATTCCCAAGCATTTAGCAGAGCATCTGATGTGAAGTAGGTGCTCTGTAAATGTGTTAAGGATATAAACGATTTTACATATTAAAGGGATGAGAGGTGAAGAAGACCAAGTAGGAGCCTAGCCTTCCAGCTCAGGTGAGAGGTGGCAGCAGCTGATTAATCCAGTTTCTGGCCCAGTTGTCTGGCCTGAACAGAGTTGGCCTCACTGGGAGTGATTGCTGTACACTGTGTCCTCATTTGGTCCTGGCCTTACTCTTAAATCTTGATGGATAATATCTCTTTAAAGCCTGGCTTAAATGTTAATATCTATGTGAAGCCACAATCAACTTCTGCCCCATCCCAGGCCAAATTCATTACTGCTTCGCTTGTTTTCACAACATCATGCCCATCCCTTTTATATAACACTAGCTGCACTATATGAAAATTCAAATACATGCCTTTACATAGCCGTGACTGTATGCTTTTCCTGCCAGACTGTGAAGCTCTAGAGAAAAAGTGATTAGTTTTTTATTTTTTGGTCTTTATCTTTGTAACTAACCTGAGAGTAATACCTGACCATTGTAAATTGTCAGGAAATAAATGACAATTATTTTCAATCCAGCTGAATTAATTTTACTTTAAAGATGAATATATTTTTGTCTTAAACAGAATTAGTGTTATCATGTAGTAGCAATAGATGCAAAATGATTCTGAAAGAAGTGCAGTTTTACAATTTTTAAAATTATTTTGTAAGCAAATAAAAGGGGCTACAATTAAAAATTTTTTTTAATGTATAATAGTTCAAGCATGATAGTTTGTGTTTTGGTTTTGTTATTTTGCAAGGGGAAAAAAAATAAGAATTTCAGGTGATCGCTCATTAAATCCTAAGTTTCTGGTCTGAAAGGTAGCATGTCTTCAGCTACGAAGAAGCAGATTAAACCAGTTGTGCTGTTAGCTTGAAGCATTTGGAAGCTGGCCAGAACTGCCTAAGATTTTTTTTTTCCTTCTTATTCTCTTCCTTTCTGCCAGGCTCACTCAGTGAATCCATTTGCAGAATCAAATGAAAATCAATCCCTTTTATGCAAACCTTCCTGAAGCAACAGGGCTATGTTTGGTCACAAGAGTGGAGGTTCGTGCAGTGAAAGCCCTTGTGGTGATTTCTCCCCACCCAGGGCTTGCCAAGGTCCACTCCACCACGTAGTGATGAAAGGGAGGATCAAGCAGCTTTCTCAAAGCCCAGCTCCATCAGACAGGCCTTTTCTAAATATAGCAGACTTCAGTAAACAGCACTGCGAATGTGCAGTGTGCTTGCTGGAGAATATATCTACCTCCATCAAAATTTTATGCATGCATGTACATATCTGGATCTTGTTGGGCCCTTTTTTATCAATTAAAATGCTAAGTAAATTCTCTTTTTATTTTAAAAATTGACGTTTGATCAGTTTCTGCTCAGCACTTTAGATCAATTAACTCGAGGGAAAGGGCCCTGAATGAGGGAAGGTTGACTAAATGAAGCTTAACCACAGACAAAGCTGAGGTCTCTGGGATTCTTGAAAGTATCACCATAGACCAGGTTACTGTGTCCAGGATATGAGACTTCCGCCAGGCAAAAGAGGACTGGGTTAATCAGATTAAGACATTGCATTGCTATAGACAGATTCTCCTGAGCAGTGACTCTGATATAATTATAAAAATGTATTCTGTTTTATTGTCTGAAGCCCCCAGTGGTAAAGGTACCATCCTTATTTTTGGTTTGTGTTCACCTTCGATTCTGATGGAAATTACAGATCTTTGTTCTGGAGCCAGCACCTGATCCTTGTGCTTCAGTTCACCCTCACCTAAAAAAAGATCAGTAGAGAAAGCATACCAAGTGTGCAGAGCTCAACAATGGTTTAGGACAGGCACCAAGAACATGATCTCCGAGGGATCCCTAGGGATCACCACCAGAGGATGTGAAGATTCAAACTGACTTTGGCCCATGAGGCCCGCATGCAGGTGGGAGAGACATGGAAATCTGAGCGGTAACGCTCTCTGATATCAGCTTCCCTCACCGCTGAGCTCAATCACTTTAGCTTTCACATAAAAGAAAGTTCAAAACCTCAGTGATTCATGACTCCTTCCATCTACTGGTTTTAATACTTGTGATTTGGGGGTGGGAGGTTTTTCATATACACCAATTTCTACTTTATTCATCTATCGAGTCAACCCAGCAAATTAGGATCCCAGTTTTAGAAAACAAATCTTTCAGTTTTGAACCAGATAGAAAAGGAAATAAAACATTAGATAATGCTACCAAATATGAGAGAGGTAGATTCTGATAGACAGGACCAAAGAGGAAAAGTTAAGAAGTTTAATTTCTTTTTCTTGCACTCTGCTTTTATCTTTTTTTCCTTTTTGTGCCGACCAACTATTTGTGTAACCTTTATGTGCTTCAGTTACTCCATCTTCAAAAAGAGCGCAAAGTAGCGATTTATACATTTACAAGATGAGAGGTCCACTCTAGGAAAATCCAAAATAACACCTAAAAAAAAAATAACTGACAATATATACATTAATCGTGTGTTTTTTGTTTGTTTGTTTATAAAAGGATTCCTCAGTAGGTTCCTTTAAATCGGAATTACACAGATCAGAGCTTTTACACACAGCTGTTAGCAGTGGAAAGAATCAAGATGCCTCAATTAGAGTCCCAGCCACACCATTTATTAGCTGTGTGACCTTGAACACTTAAGCCAGTTAACCTTTTTGAGCTTCTGTTTTCTCTTCTGTAAACGGAGATAACAACACCTACTTCACAGACTGGTTAGGATCAGATGAGATAATTTGTGTAGAAGCGCTTGGTTAACATCACTCATTTATCTGTGAGTTCAGTGAACATTCAGGGAGCGGGTCCCACGTGCCAGGCACCATTAGGCACTGATATTGTGATCAACAGTGTGTGGCACTTTTACTTTCAATTTTCGTCTCTTACAGATTTCTGACTTGATTTGTGTGTAGTAAAACCCCAACTTCTCAGAATTATATCAGCTGGGTAAAGTGAAAGACAATTACACATTTTCAATTACTTCCTTGTATATTTCATATGCACCATGAATTTATGAACCAAAGACCTACTTCTAGAAGACTTATCATCTTGATTGGCTAATGTGAATTATGAGAAGGTGTGGGACCCTCAGCCTTTCCCAAACAGAATGGAAAGGAAATACTTCTGAGTATGTGGATGCAGATGTTACTGAAGGGCTGGCCATTCTGAAGGTTCATCCAAGTTTCACGTGGCTCACATCTGGGGCCCTGGAATTGGGCACTATGGCAATGTGTCCTTGATTTGGGCTGGTTCCTATGTTCCAGAGCCAGGGTGTATTGGTGGAAGTGCTCCCTCAGGCTATTCTCATGCCATTGCCTTGTATCACCTCCTTTGTCCTTCTTCAACCACCTGAGGGCCCACTGCCTTATGCCCTCCTCTTCTCTCTCGGCTCCTGTGTGAAGCAAGGACTGTCTCAGTCTTGCATTAGATCCTAAGAGCAACCATCCAGAATCTTGCATTACCTTCACCTCATCTATTTAGTAGGACTTGTATACCTCATATAGTATTCTCAAGCAGCTGGGTAGGCTATCTCTAGAAATGTTTGTTTGCACAGCCATAGGAAGCAGGAAGGTAGCACTGAACAACTTCAAGAGGCTTTAAACACATCGTGGTCTATATCAGCAGCATCTCCCGGAGTTGCTCAGTGAACAGCCTATCAGCTACATCTGGGAGCCTTGATAGGAAAATCAGAAGTTTGGGAAGAGTCCCTGAAATCGAATCTGAAGGTTGATCACATGTGAGGGCCACACTCTTTCATGCTCCCCAAATTGTTTTGACCACTTCAATCTAGCTTTCTAGTCAGCAGTCATGTCCTGTCTAAGTACAGGCATTCCTAATATCTTGGAATCTATCTCCTCCACTCCATCCAACTTGTCACCACCTCAGTGCAGTTCTTCTGTCATCTCTCGCCTGAATTCCTATAGCCACCTCTTCTCTGGTCTCCCTGCTTTTTGTCTCCCCTCCCACCACCATCGATTTGCTACTGTTGACAGGGTGACCCATCTCAATCACAAGTCTCATTTTGTCATGCCCCTGTTTGCAATCCCTTAACCTTTCCATTGCCCTCATGATAAAGCCCAGAATCCTTGGCATGGGTACAGACCCTCCATGATTCTAGCTCCTGCTCTGGTTTTCTGCTTCTGAAACACTGTACTGGCCTGAGTCAAGTCCAGGCCTTTGTGTCTAACATCTGCTCTGCCTAGAACACCCTTCCATCTCCCGCCCCCTCCTCCTGACCAAACCCAGCTCAGTGTTGAAAACAAAAGCAGGCACTGTGCATTTAACAATGAAAATATCTCTTAAGCCCCAAAAGTGTGGAACCTTGAAGAAAGGTCAGGAAGAAAAATCGTGGCTGCACCTGCTAGTTCACAGGGGAGATGCTGGTGGCAGGAAGCTCAGAGAGCTCTGCAGAGAGCAAGGCCATGCTGAGTCTATGGCTCTCCACTCCTTCCTGGCCTCTGCGCCACCATACAAAGATAACCAGGTGGTGAAAAGGCCCCATGAGTGGCAGCCTCAAGTTGCCTGGGAAATAAGTCAGAAAATGCAGCAGAAAATGTTCAGGCTCAGGAACCAGAAAGACTGAGTTCTGGTCACAGTAACTTCAGATCTCAGCTTATCATTTTATTGTGAAAGGACTGGACTCTGTGGGATGTTTTCATATTGTGCTTCATAGAGCCCTAGGGGTTCCAGATGCTTTTCAAGGGCCATCTCAGGGGAAGAGAAGGGATGTAGAGAAGGAGGAGGCAAGCCCCCCAGAGTACCCCTCCTCTTGTCCTTCATTCTCTTCTTCTGTGTAAGAGTGCCTCTGAAAGAAGGGTTATGCTGCTTAAAATGCATTGGAAAGCCAGAAAAAGGTGAATGAACAGCTGATATTCCACAAACTAACCCATGCTTGAGCTTCTCCCAGGGTTAAGGTGGACTTGTTGACCGATGCGGTCAGTGGGAACCAGGCAGTGCTCGTGACTACTCCCCAAGCCACCTACCCCCTCTGCTAACTCCAGCTGGGCTGCTTATGGTTCAAGGATCCGTTGGATTTTGTCCCCGAACCAATCAGCACCAATTATACTTGTTATTTTGATCGTAGTTTTTTCAGTTCAGTTCAGCTCAGTTGCTCAGTCATGTCCGAGTCTTTGCATCTCTATGGACTGCAGCATGCCAGGCTTCCTTCTCCACCACCAACTCCCAGAGCTTGCTCAAACTCCCGTTCAACGAGTCAGTGATGCCATCCAACCATCTCATCCTATGTCATCCCCTTCTCCTCCTGCCTTCAATCTTTCCCAGCATCAGGGTCTTTTCTAATGAGTCAGTTCTTTGCATCAGGTGGCCAAAGTATTGGAGTTTCAGCTTCAGCATCAGTCCTTCCAATGAATATTCAGGGTTGATTTCCTTCAGGATTGACTGGTTTGATCTCCTTGCAGTCCAAGGGACTCTCAAGAGTCTTCTCCAACACCACAGTTCAAAAGCATCAATTCTTTGGCGCTCAGCTTTCTTTATGGTCCAACTCTCACATCCATACATATGTGGAAAAACCATAGCTTTGACTATACACACCTTTATATTCTTTTAATTGCATATTATACAAGCCAGCTAAATACAGTGAAATGAGTTTCATGAGTATTTCTGTGAATACTAAGGAGAATGATTTGGAAATACTTTTTAAAAAGTCACTAATAATATTGCTATGAAATTACATGTAGACAATTTAATTCTTTGTAAACATCTAGATGGAATCTACTCTCAGATGGTTTAAGTCACTTGGAGTTCCAATTCCATTCTAAAGAGATTCAGCCTGGGAATTGTGCACGGTGCATTGGAAAGTGAGTTTCACCCATAAGAGGCAACAACACAGCTCCAAAGAGTGTGTCCACACTCAAAACAGGACCTGGCCTTCCTTTAGACACTGGAAAATAAATAGACATCTATGTTTTAAGACAACATATTTACACATATGCATATTATTTTTGTCATTCGGCCCTTTGACTTTTTCCGTTGGCTGCTAGCCCAACCACCTATGTGCATGTGTGTGTGTGTGTGTGTGTGTGTATCTAGAGATAGACTAGAAAATATTCTTTCTGCAAAAACAAACAAATGCAAAAGCAAAACCAGAGCAACAGCCCCGGATCCGAAGTTCTGTTGGCATTTTTCCTCCAAACAGAGAAGACACTTGTATTGAAGTGGACCCTGACTGGCCTTGCATTTGTGCAGCTGCCAGGCTTGGTGGCCACTACAACACAGACAACACAGTCGTTTCCAACTACAACAGGTGTCCCTGATTTTCAGTCTTTCTTAAATTTCAGCAGAGACTGCAGTATGATCATGGAAAAAAAAAAAAAGTTGGACAAGAGGAAGAAAGATAGTCCAGGGTGCGAAATGAATGGTGTGCCTTGGGGGCCTCTCTAACTGGTTAGTACATTTGTGGTGCCAGAGGGCTCTGCTTGGTGAGTTCAATATTAGGAAGATTTACTGATTCTGCTTTCAGCTGTGATCAGTCACTGAATGGTTTAGCTCATTTGGGTCAGGTAGTGACAGCACATCCAGCACATGAAGCCATCTTTGCCCTGTTTCCAGCCAAATCAGCATTACTAGAGGTCAATAGAAATGTGCCAACTGGGTGTTGTAAAAAGAGTAATACATTAGTGCGAGAAAGATGCCCTATCTCCGTTGGTGGAGGTATAGATATCCTGAAATCTGACTATGGATCCCTAGTGTGCGAAGCAGTTTTGTGAAAGACTGGTAATTAATTTTATAAGGAGTCTCTATGACCTGTAATTAAGTTACAACCTTTAGTAAACAAATCAAGAACTTAGTTTCTTAAATTATAAATATGACAGGAGCTTTCAGAGTGGCGGGACTTCCTCGGTGTCTCAGGTGGTAAAGAATCTACCTGCAATGCAGACCTGGGTTCAGTCCTTGGGTCAGGAAGATCCCCTGAAGAAGGGAACAGCAATCTACTCTAGTGTTCTTGCCTGGAGAATTCCATGGACAGAGGAGCGTGGAGGGCTACAGTCCATTGGGTCTCAAAGAGTTGCATATCACTGAGTGACTAACACTTTCAGAGTGGCACCTTGGCCCATGTAAAATTCCACCTGGAAATGTAAACTAGGTCTTTTAAAACCTCCGAAAAGTAAATATCTCCTACATCCAACAACTCTCCCATCTCCTCAGCCTCTCTTCCTCATGATGGCCATTATCTCAGTCCAGACAGATTTTATGTATATTAAAATGTATTTTCTTTTTATAACACAGTTGAAATCACATCTTCTATACTGTTCTGTGACTTGCTCTATGCATCTTATTTTTAAAGCTATACCACAGTGGATAGCTCCCTTAATAACCATAAATTATTCAGCTAGCTAGCTCATGTCATACTTTAGAGAGGTAATAGGGGCATAAAGGAAAAAAACAGGGATACAACACAGAAGGATATTATTTTTTCAAAAACTGCTGACAACGTGGGAAATGCAAGGGGATGGGGAAGGAGCTGACATCTGAGGGTTAGACATACCTTTTAAGAGCAAAAATAGGCCTACTGTGATGAATTGTACCACACCATCTATAAATTCAGAGCTAACTTCAGTCTCAGTGAGAATGTTTAATTTTCCAGTGGGAAATCTGTAGAGCAGAACTTGAGTAATATCAGGACAAGCCCTTTGCATTGTCATTATCCCTAACTGATCTCTGCTAGCTTATAGCAATTCGGCTAAGGTACTAATTAAATAGGAGTTGGAGTTTTTGAAAGCCAGCCTTTCTGGTGGAGGAGAGTCAAGCTGTTACAAGGGTTCTTTATTCCTTTGGTTAATATTTTTCCTTTCATCCAGGACTGTGCTTACTCTTTGAGGGTAAGTTGAGTGAACTTAACGGAGTTCTCTAAATTAAAGGAGCCAGCTGGAGCACAGCTCTTGGGGGATGAACAGTCGTGGTGGTCTATAGCTTCCATCAGTAGGATGTAGTCCTTGAATTCCACAAGAAGGGCACTGGGTTTGGAGTCAAGTCATGTGCTGAGTCCAAATCCGGGATCTACTATGGACCATCCATGTGACCTAGGCATGACTCAACCCTCAGGCCTCTATTTATTCATGTGTAAGATGAGGTATATTCGCCCCTCCATTACGGGCTGTTGGGAGAAGTCACTAAGATAACATTCTCACAAGCCAGATCCCTATGCACACTGTTTCATGCATTATGCTAGATTTAGAGAGACGGGATACATGCTAAGCATGTGGTGGGCAGTCATTAAAGACTTGTTGAGCTGACACGATCCCATAAAGTTATAGGGAGACTCAAAAATAATTAAAACATAAGACAGTCATTGAAAGGGCTTTGGAACTGTGCTGCAAGATAATAGATTAAGTAACTCTTTCCACATAAGCTCCATAGGTCTTGCTCCCTAGAAATAGAAATGGAGAGAAAAAGCAGGGAGAATAAAAGTAAGACATTTCTTGAGATTAAAAGAAAGATT